CTCACTATCCCTGCTCAGCCTCTCCTCCCTGCAAGCACTCTGTCCGCCTCTCCAACTTTTCTTCTGAAGTTCAGGGTGCCAGAATTTTCATCTGGGTGTTTTTGTCTCTCATATCTTTGTTGTACAGGGTCCGTGTAGTGCGTCTGCTTAGTCCGCCATCTTACTTTTCTTCCTTCTTTTTCACAGTTTGCATTTTTTTATTTGGATGGTGCGGCACACAGAAAGACCTTTGAGACCAGACAGATCTGGGGTCATGTCTTCAGTATTAGCTGCTGTTCGTAGCCACTGCTGAGTCACAGCACCTTCATGAACAACAGAATTCAGTGTGGCCCGGCCATGCGCCATCCACATTGGGGCTACAGATCAGACCCACCCTGTGACCCACGCAGCATCAGCCTTTTCTCCCCAGCTTCTCAGAGTAAAGAAGCTCTGCTGAAACTTGCTCGCATCAGTGTCGTTCCCATGTGCGGCTACGTCGATTCCATCCCACAGTGACCCACAGGACAGAGCAGAGCCACCCCACAGGGTGTCCTAGGCTGTAGTCTTCATGGGAGAAGATCCCTAGGCCTTTTCTCCAGCAGACACTGGATGGGTTCAAACAGCTGAGCGCTTGACCACGGTGCTAAACGGCCTCCTGTTTACATCATTTGTTGTTGTTGTGAAGTGGCAGGGAGTTGGTTCCGACTCATAGCGACCCTGCACAGGATGTCCAAGAGTGACTGGTGGGTTTGAAATACTGACCGTGCAACTGCCAGTCCAGCGCTTGTCCTACAGTGACACACCATAGCATTGTTTATATCACAGCAACATGCATATCTCCACTGATAGGTGGTGGCTACTTATGAGGTGTTGTGGCTGGGAACTGACCCTAGAGCTCCTACATGGAAGGCAAGAATTCTAACACGGAACCACCAGTGCCTCACTCACTACTAGCTAGGTCCTTGGGAGTTTACGTATTTATGCCTCATGCATAAAATGGGGGTGGATAATGCCTTCATAGTTAAAGATTTAATGAGATTAGCTATGCAAAGCATTCTGATGCTCATTTAACTTTAGTTTACCTCCCTTTTTAATGATTATTTAGATGCTGTAACCTGGAAAAGTTTAGTCCTTGCTTGTCAAGAGACTCTGTCCTGGTACATATGATCTAAGTTCTTCAGAACCTGATTAATGTTTTTCTACCATCAGCAAGCACATATTTTTCCCTAAGGATGAAACCAATGCCTCATTTTATTTGCCTAAAATGGTGACGGTTTTCACAAATCTCTGGGAACCACTGCTAGGTGTTTATTACAGATGGAGTGGCCATAGCTGAGCGGATTTATTTAGAATGGAGTCTCTAGCACATGGAGCAGGTCTGGGGAGGCTGACGATGATATCCCGAGATTTCACTTGTAAACTTGTACTGTGAGGGCACTAATAAGATGGGGGAGAGTTTAATAATGGCTATTAATGTCATCGCTCTAAATCTAGTAAGGGAGGGACCACAGCACCCTAATGGAAAAAACAGGCGTCTTTGGAGCAAAATAGCAAATCAGCTTACTAGCATAGCAACCTACTTATCCCTGAAATGGATACCCACACAGAGTAAACATTAATCAATGTCACTTACAAACATGTCAGATATAGGATGTGGAAGTTGGCATTTGGCATGCCTAGATTACGGCCTCAGGTGCCCAGCCAGAGAAGCACGCAGTTACTTTACATATTACAGCTGTTGTTGTTAAATGCCATCAAGTCCATTCCAACTCCCAGCAACCCTGTATAGGGTTTCCAAGGAGTGACTGGTGGGTTTGAACTGCCGACCTTTTGGTTAGCAGTCCAGTGCTTATCCTACAGAGCCACACCAGGAGTCCCATATTACAACAACTATGTACAAAAATAATGCTACTACCTAGCTAAAGGAAGCCTTGGGTAGTGCGAATGGTTAAGCACTCAGTTTTAACTGGAAAGGCTGGCTACTAACTGAGAGGCTGTAATCCACCCAAAGGAGCCTCAGAGGAAAGGCCTGGTGAAATGCTTCCCAAAACTCACACCTTCAAACCCTCTGAAGCCATTCTCTGACATTCATGGGGTCACTATGAGTCAGAATGGAGTTTGGTATATTTATAAGATACATTTTAGGACTATTATAAACGACTGAGACACAGAGTATCTATGTGCTGAAGAGAGAACCACAATCTGAATGCACACTTTATCTTGACCCCTGGGAGGCAGCTGATGTGTAGCAGCTGGGGAGTCTGGGCAGGCGGAGGAGAGGTTGCTGAATGCTTCCCAGGTAAGGCACTTGTCATTTATCAGGTCTCATCTAATCCTCAGGTAACCCACTGCAGGAGGAGCTATCTGCATGGAATAGGTGAGAATATGAGGTATAGGAAATCATCTGGGGTCTGCTGCATGCTGTGTATGTCTCCCCATTTCATCTTTTGTCTGGAACTTTGCATGTATCTTTGACATGTTGTTGTTAGCTGCCTGTTGAGCTGATTTTCTGCTCTTCAGGACAGGAGCCATACTCTAGTTATTTCTGTATTGCTCGTGCTTAGCTAAGGAGCTCTGCTGGTGCCATGGTATAATGCTGGGCTGCTAACCTCCAGGCTCACACCCACCAGCCACTCTGGGGGAGAAAGGTGAGGCTGTGGGCTTCTATGAAAGCTCTGTCCTACAGGGTCATCATGAGTACGAATCAACTTGATTGTCTCTGTCCTATAAGGTTATCACGAGTAAGAATCAACTTGATTGTTTCTGTCCTACAGGGTTATCACAAGTAGGAATCAACTTGATCGTCTTTGTCCTATAGGGTTATCACGAGTAAGAATCAACTTGATCGGCTCTGTCCTATAGGGTTATCATGAATAAGAATCAACTTGATCATCTTTGTCCTATAGAGTTATCACGAGTAAGAATCAACTTGATTGTCTCTGTTTTATAAGGTTATCAGGAGTAAGAATCAACTTGATGGTAGTGGGGTTGGTTTTGGGGTGGTGCTTAGCTAGTGCCTGGCACATAGTAAGTACTCAGTGAGTATTCTGGGATTGCTAGAGAAAGAGTATCAATTAGCTGCTATGCTAAGTACCTATGTACAAGTAAATAACAACAGAAATGACAGAAATAGAAGGCACTTACCATTTATAGACCATTTGTTGCACACCAGGTACTACATACTGAGCTACTTGTCTGATTATTTCATTTAGTTACCAGAACATCCTAAGTCACCCCCTCATTTTACAGAGGGAAAAACCTGAGGCTCAGAGAGGTTACACACCTAGAGAATGGGTATCCACCCAGCAAAGCTTTCTAAGACTACGGGAATGGCTTCAACCTGTGCTAGCTAACATGTAACTACTGATCACAAGTGGCTATGGAGCATTTGCAATGTGCTTGGTGCAACCAAGGAATGGAATTTTAAATATTATTTCATTTTAATGAGCCTAAACTCAATCTGAAATAGCTACAAACGGCTAGAGGTGATCATTGAAAACGCAAACTAAGCTGTCTCATGGCTTGCGCCCTTCCCTGCCCTGGGAGTCTGCAGACCTCTGCACAGGCAGGTGACCATGGGCACAGGGAGACTCAGCTACTCTTGTGGGCATGGCTCTACGGTTGCCAACGTCATTTCTTGAGGTCTACGGGCACACTGGGCCCAGTGCCAGATGCTACAGGAGCTGCCAGGGAAGCTGGGTGGCTTCTAGAGAAGAGGCAGGCCCCAGGCAACCTCAAGACGAAGAGAATATATTGTGAACGGTATCTTAACAACACGAAACCAAAACAAACCAGTTGCCATCAGGTCAACTCCAATGCAGGCGACCCCATGTGTGTTCAAGAACTATGCTCCGCAGGGCTCTCAATGGCTGAATTTCCAGATGTGGACGATCAAGCCTTTTTTCTGAGGCACCTCTGGGTGGACTGCACCACCAACCGTTCGGTCAGTAGCCAAGCACTTAACTGTTTGTGCCAGCCAGGGATGCCTGTGTACAGTATGTAGTTGTGTTGCAACGTGCCACTGAGCTGGTTCCGACTCACAGTAACACTGTATAGGGTTTCCGAGGAGCAGCTAATGGGTTTGAACCACCAACCTTGTGGTTTGCAGTCAGTATAAACAGTGGTAAATAAACAAAGAATGAATGGAGTGTGACCACAGGATAGAGGAACTCCACTCAGAAGGGAATTAACATGCGGTTTCTAGAAAACCCCTTGAGTCCACATTTAAGAACACAGCTGCTGCATGAAGTCAAACTCAACCCCTAAACCACTGTTGCTCCTTCGATCTTGACTCCGAGCGACCCGGCAGGGCAGAGGCGATCTCCATAGGGCTTCTGAGGGTGAAATGTTTACAGTCTCATCATTCTTCCGTGGAGTGGCTGGTAGGTTTGAACTACCAACCCTGCAGTTAGTAGGCCAGTGCTTATCATACAGTACCACCAGGGTGCCTTGCATTAAAGGGACACGACTTGCAGAAGGAAATACCTAGAACTCATCTACTTAAAATGAGTAATTACTACATGATTTGACTCATACGTCAATAGCTTATTAAAGACTGTTAAATTTCTGTGAATATATTAAAAGTCACTGATGTATCATTTAAATGAGTCTTATTGCAATAAAACTATTATTTAAAAAGCAAACAGCAAACGAAAGCTTGTTGCTGTTAGGAGACATCAAGTTGGTTCTGGCTCATAGACACAATAAGTCAATATGAAATCTTGATGCAAAAAGCAGTGCTTAGGTGAACCCTTCAAATCCTCTGTGGGGTGGTAATAGGGAAACCTCTATTCCTGTTATGTTAAAAATTAAATCTTACAACTGATGAGACAAAGGCAAAGGCTGGGGAGTGAAATTAAGGCAGGTTTACCTTGGAAGCCAGCTACATGATTTCAACATGGTGTCCCCCACAAACTACATGATGAGGGGAACTCATCTAGACAGCGCTGCCCAGGCCTCTGGGAAATGACCATCAGAAGCTGAAGGCCAGCAGCAGGCATGTTAGCAAGATGGACACATACCTCCTCCAGGCTGAGCTGCAAATACTCAAAGATCCTGTATGGATTTCTTCTGCATATTAGTCTCTTGGTTTGCACCGACTGGAGAGAAGGAAAGAAAACAAATTAGAATGGAGACACTAATAGGTCATATAGAAGAGATTACATTTTAAAATTGTCTTATAATAAGACTTCCAAGATCTACATGCTGTTGGGTAAATAATGCAAAAAGACAAAAAAAATGCTGTGGTCAAATGTAACAGAACATTTTCCATTTCACTTCTTGTAAAAGACGAATTTTTTAATAATGATGTGGAAAAGGAAGTTTTGCTTTTTCGTACTACTAATATTTTTATTTATTTCCTTTTTCCACTCACAAATTCTTCTCAGAATTAACTCATTTTGTGTGTCAATATTATGGGTTGCTTCTTTTTTCAGTCAATTGCATCTTGCAAGCATTCTTAATAAGGTGTCATAAACCTCATTCTAAAAGGCTGCATACTTTTTCGAAGGAATGGTTCATGTATTATTTAAACATTAGACTGTTTCTAATTTTTCAGATTATATATAAGAGTCCCGGTGTGGCGTTGTAGGAAAAGCACTCAACCGCAAGACTGGTGGTTCAAACGCACCCACTGCTCCTTGGAAACCCCAGATAGGGTTGCTATGAGTCGCAACCAACTCAATGTCACTTAACATCCAACATCATAAGCTTATATATGATTCCAGGGTAACGGCCTCTATCACTCATCTGTCAGTTTATCACACTGTGCTGGCTTGCATGCAAGCTATACCATCAGCACTTCGAATACCAGCAGGGTCATTCATGGCACACAGATTTCAGTGGAGCTTCCAGACAAAGACAGACTAGGAAACAATGCCTGGTGATCTACTTTAAAAATTAACCAACAAGACCCCAATGGATCCTACTAGAACACCGTCCACTACAGTGCTGAAGATGCGCTCCCAGGGCTGGAAAATCTGTTATTCACACAGGAGCCCCAACAATGGACTCAAGCAGACTACTGGCTGTAATGGCAGACCAGGACTGTTTGTACATGGGGTCACCACGAGTAGGTGCCAAGTGAACTGCCTCTAACAACAATGACAACTGTCTCCACAGTGAGATGCTATATGCCTGTGCCTCTCTTGTGATGACTTCTATATATATGTGAGACCCTCCCCAGTGGGTATAATCAAGATCATGTGCACGACCAGTGAGTTTCTCTCAAATAAAGAGAGTGTCAGGAAACCTGCTTTCATTTCTAAATATTTTTAAGTTCAGTCATTCACAAATGTGAAGCTCTAGTTGAAGTGGTCCTCACAGCTGATGCACTGAAGGACCAGTACCCAAGCCTCTGTCTGCAGCAAGGGGTTCTACAAAAGTCTCACATGCCCTGGGTATGACTGAATGCCTGCTCCTTGTTGTTGTTGTTAAGTGCCATCGAGTTGGTTCTGACCCATAGTGACCCTGTATAGGGTTTTCAAGGAGCAGCTGGTGAGGTTTAACTGCTGACCTTGCAGTTCAAATGGCTTTGCAGCCACAGCACCACACCAGGACTTCAGAATGCCTGCTCCTAGATGCTAGTAAAAGACTTCTGGTCAATGAGTAGCTCAGCTGGGCCAGAGGCAGATAGCTTTATGGGTTTTCTTCAACTTACTTCCTTGCTCAGTGCAGCCTCTCCCACACTCACGTCACTAACCACTTCCTCCACCAGCACGTACTCGTGACCTGCCCGGCTCTCTCTGGCAGACAGGAGATCTGCTTGCTGAGAGCCATGTTGTGGGATGAGGTCATCACAGTGGACGGGCTGGGCATGGGGCAAGGGTGCAGCATCCTCTACGGTGAGTCCATCAGGGTTGTTTGCAGTTATGGTGCCCTGCCCAGAGCCCTGCTGTGGGCAGGCAGATGGCTTGCTCAGGCTGTCCTCATCACCTGACTCTGCTGTGTCTCTGTGCATCACAGAAAGTTTCTCTCTACCCGCTGCACCTTCCTCACTGAGATCCACTGCAGAGCTGAGCTCATCCTGAAAACAAGTCGTTTTGGACCCTTGCAAACAAGGGTGTTCAAGTGGCTTGGTGTAGTCCTGGAGGATGCTGTGCACGGCACTTTCCTCTTGTCCCTGCCTACACAGGAGCTCTGCCGCCCATTCTACACCACGCTGGTACCTGCAAAATGGACAGATAGAATGGTTAGTTACCACCACCAGAATCTCCAAAGTTAAAAGACAAGCTACAGACCAAATAAAATATACAAAAAAGATGGGAAGGCCATACTCTAAAATGTTCACTGCAGTTTTACTAGATGGTGGGTCACAGGCCAATATCTTCTTCATTACACTTTTCTGCAACAAGTACGTCTTACTTTAATCAGAGGAAAAAGTGGCTGCCCGTAAAATAGTAGTATGCATGCAGTCAAAAAGAACTTTGAGAAACCTAAAAAGAATCTTTGTTCTTCCTACCAGCTAAAAGCATTGGCTCAGATGGGCTTCCTGGGTTTACTGGCCTGCTGTAGTTGGGGTCAGTGTGTACTCTCTGGGGATGGGCTCCACAAATTCCTTGACTCAAAAATGTGAGGCAACAACAAAAAGGTGAAGACAGGTTATATGACCATCAATGGGAGAGTGAATAAACAAACTTTGGCACATACACGCAATGTTAAAGAAGAACAACCAGACACTTCCTAATGTGGATGAACCTGGAGGACATTATGCTGAGTGAAATCAGCCAATCACAAAAGGATAAATATCATATTAGACCACTGTTGTAAAAACTCAAGAAAAGGTTTTCATACTTAAAGAAACATTCTTGGATTGTTCTGAATATTCAGATGGCAAAGACCTCTTGGATTATGTTTAATAAATAATGCATAAGCAGATCAGTCAAAAACTGTGGAACATTTTAGTGCTTACAAAGGGCTGGCCTTCAGTTATCTGGCCCTCTCCCCTGTCCAGAACCTCTCCCAGCTTTTCTGCTGGTTGGATATGGGTGCGGTTCTCACATATGAACTTCCACTGTGTTTCCAAAATCGAATTCTGGTGCAGCACCCCGTCTATCCTGTAGCCTCTCCCCTTGACAAAGTCCCACTTGACCTCCAGTCTGGGGTCCAGGTTCAAACAGCCCTTGCCTACTAGTGCTACTGCCCACCTGCCATTCCTCTGATGCTGGTGCTACCAAGCATGCAAAAAAAAAGGAGCTGTTGCATTTGGCCAGTAAAATGCTAGAAGCAAGAAGAAAAATCACAGTGGACTTGAGTCACAAGGAGCCTTCATGTAAGAACTGAGAGTTGGGCTGCACCTCGGGGACAATGAGGATTTTTGGACAGCTGACTGTTTCATTAACAGACTCTTACCAAGAGATGCAGGGCTGTGCCAAGCATGGTCTCAGAGCTGACAGTCACAAGGGACAACCGAAATATGATACTTTATGCAGTACAAGTTATGCATGGTAGCCAAGGCAATACAGCCTTTCCACTGTGCTGTAATCCACACCGTGGGGACCAGAGAGGCAACACCCAAGTCAGCTGGGAATGACGTGAGAAGAGCAGCTCCCCGTTCAGGCTAGCACTATGATAACCTGCTAGCCTAAAGGTTGGCAGTTAGAACCCATCCAACTGTGCTGAGGAAGAAAGGCCTGCTGGTTAACTTCCATAAAGATTACAGCCAGAACACCCCACCAAGCAATTCTCCTCTGCAACACACGAGGCTGCCGCGAATTGGAATTGACTTGACAGCAACAATTTTGTTTGAGTTTTCGATTTGTTCCAGACAAAAGGAAGACAGAGTGTAAACAACATTCCAGAGGAGGGAATCAGGACTGTGTAAGATGGACAAGGCTAAGGCTGAGCATCTCAGGACTTAAACACATGCATTACAAGATCACTGCTCCTATTTTGGAAGGAATTAAATTGGCAGAAGATTCAATTTAGGATTATCTAAAAAATAAATTCACTACTGTCACACATAATTTTCAAGGACACACCTACTACCAAAAAAATAAAATGTAGTAAAAAGATGTGGACTGCTGTAACAGAAGCAATTAGTTGAAAACAGATTTGATCTAAACTACAATGTTGACCAAATCGAGAATCATCAAGACTTACTTTTTTGCAGTGATTATGGGCATGCTTGTCCTCGTATCTGTAACAATAAAGACGCTTTGTTAGTTCAGACCAACTTTCCTTAGGGGTAAAAAACAGAAAACATCTAGAAAGGCTGAGAATTTGAAGGTTCATGAAGACCGCCTGCTCAGAACACAGGCACACTTCATACAGAACCGTGCCTGTACCTGCCTGCATTCCACCTCTCCTGCTGAACTCAGATCGGGGCTCAGAATCCTTCTCAGCACAGCACCAGAAATGGATGTCAGATGAAACCTCTTTGTTATCTCTGAGTGCTCACTCCCTCAACTTCCAGATGGGACTACTGAGGCCCTCAAGTTATAAAACTGACCCTCTGCCAAGGTGTTCTTTCTAGTTCACAGTGCCATGTAAGTCTCCTGTGTCTACATCTAACACGGGCACACAGGGGAGGTGGGAAGAGGATACTGAAAGGGCAGGGTTATTTTGGATGGGGGTTGGGAGTTCTGGGTTCTAGTTTTGGTTCTGGGGCAGTAGTGGGGGAGCCTTTGTTCTTCAAGTGGTTAGCAAGTCATCTACTGGTCTGAGTTTTAGTCCTGGCCCTCCCTAACTCTGTCATTGGCAAGTAACTTCTTCTTTCCCAAACTTAATCTTCCTGTCTGATGGTTTAAAGGTTTGGACCACATGTTGTTTCAGCTTTAAAACTCTAAGAAAGTACATTCACTGCCTACCTCTCTGGGAATTTGTTCAAAGCATCCTGACTGTCTTCCTCTGGTAATTTAGCAAATCCAATTGAACAATTTTTACTAAAAGTTTCCCATATGCCAAGACTTAGGGATACACGCAAAACCCTACTTGAAATCATCAGTGTAATTGGGGAAGCAGGCCACAAACCAACTCTAATACAAGATGAGGGATGACTGAGGTAAGTAGGACAGAACTTAAAAAGTTCAAGGAAAATCGAAATTAAAATAATTTTAATTTAGAATTTTTCCACTAACTTTGTGAAGATCCTACATATGAAGGTAAGTCAAAAAGCACTGTTACTAGGATTCCAATTTATACATGCACGGGGTTATTACAAAACATGTTTAAACATGTCTCTGAGAGCAGTGCGTGGCTGCAGACAAGTTCTCTCATAATGCAAGGGGCTTCACAATGTTAGGGGAAAAATTCCCCATAGTACACTTACCTTAGTCTTTGTTGTTGTTGTTGTTCGGTGCCATCAAGTCGGTATTGATTCATAGAGATCCTATGCACAACAGAACGAAACACTGCCCGGTCCTGGGCCAACCTCTCAATCACTGCTATCCTTGAGCCTACTGATGCTGCCACTTTGCCAATCCATCTTGCAATGGGTCTTCCTCTTTTTCTCTGACCCTCCACCTTATCAAACATGATATCCTTCTCCAGTAACTGGTCCCTCCTGACAATATGTCCACAGTATGAGAGACAAAGTCTGGCCATCCTGGCCTCCAAGAAGGACTCTGGCTACAATTCTTCCAACAAAGATCTGTTGGTTCTTTTGGCAGCCCATGGTACTTTCAATATTCTCCTCCAACGCCATAATTCAAAAGCATCAATTCTTCTGTGGTCTTCCTTATTCACTGTCCAGCTTTCACATGCATATGAGGTTACTGAAAATACAATGGCTTGGGTTAGGCCGACCTTAGTCCTTAAACTGGTATCTTTGCTCTTCAACTGTTTAAAGTAGTCTTGTGCAGCATATTTGCCTAAAGCAATACGTCATTTGATTTCTTGACTGCTGCTTCCATGAGTGTTGATGGTTGATCCAAGCAAAATGAAATTATTGACAACTTCAGTCTTTTCTTCAGTTATGTTGGTCTTGTTAGAATGCCTTATAAAAACATCTATCAGAATTATGGTTTCCAAGGGTCCATTAAATTCAAGGCAGTGAAGGGAGCTCAGAAGGTTATGGGGACTGTTTGGGGGATCCCAAAGGGATTGATTTTCTCTAAGGACACAGGACTATCACTGGAAGAAGTTTAATAAAAGTGAAAACTACAGGGGTAAGAAGGCGGCCAAGAAAGTGTAGCCAGGAATTTCCCCTCATTCTATCATTCTTTGAGGGTAGCAAGGACTATCTGATAAGAATTTCATTGAAAACCTTATTCCACCCCATCCAGAACCTTCTGAGGTGGGACATTCCCACTAGAAAGGACAAGCAGACCAGCCTGGAACAGCTAGAATGACAGAAGATACATCTTCAAAGAAAGATCATCAGGAAAAACCTAAAACAAAAATGTCAGCATGACTGGCTACTACAAGAATAAGCAAGTTGTTCGCTGGGAAGCCATCAAGGCAAGCAATCAAG